CTTTATTCCAGAAAGTCCACTGGTCCGGCGGAGCGCGGCGCCTGGTGGCGCGCGCGCCGACCCTGCGCGTGCGAGACTAGAGGTGCTTCCGCGCATGAGCCCAGACTTGGCGCGCAGCGTAGCACCGCTCGGCAACTTGTGATCCACCGCCTCGGAGAACTCCGGCTTGAGCCAGAACGTTCCCCCTTGCCGCGCAACTTTCTTCTCTGCGTGGACGACGTTGTCGCGAAGGGCGCCCGGCATCTTCATCTTGTAAGCGCGCGCCCCGTCAGTGCGCAGCGCCGCGTGTCGTCTGGCGAGGTGCCGCTGGGCGATGCGTTTCCAATCGCGCTTGCGAATTGAACCAGGTCCAGGCGCGCGCCTTTGACTCTTGCATGGGTCGAGACGGGTTGGTACCGAAGTCTCTGACCCCCCACGTTCGACCAGTCCTCCCCATCGCTCCCGCCTCGCTGGCTTGTCCTTGTCAGTAACTACCACATCGTCTTCCTTACTTCAAATCCACCTCGTCCGCCCCCACGTCTGGCCACTTGTCGGCGTCGCCAAACTCAATATCATTCCCCATCTGCTGAACGTACCGCATCCTGGCGCCGTCGAGGCGGGCGTGCGTGGACTCTATGAGCTTGTGGTTGTTCCCAATGATATGGTGGCATTTGGTTCGTGCGACATCCCAAGTCGCACAGATGCAAGTCGCCACTTTATCAGCAAGCGAAGAAGCACGCTGTCCCCACACCGCCGAGAACACAGGGTGGGTGTGGTGAGGAATCGCATACTTCTGGCACGTTTTGCTGCTGCAACGATAGACGGGGCCTCTGCGTGCAACATAATTCAATGGGCCCACGTGCCCACCCGCACACTCTGGGCAGAACGTGCCGTGCCAATATTGAAGATGCCCAGTGGCGGTGGGCTTCTTCGCGAGCTGCATGGGAGAAGCCGTGCACGCCGCTTCAGGGTGCATTGGATAGCGAGGCGGTCACCTCGGGGTAGATCACAGGAGGGGGGGGATCTATATATATATATATATATATATATACACACATACACATACATACATACCTTCGAATACACACACATATATATATATATATATATATATATATATATATTAAAACATATAAGTTTACATACATACAGACATACATACATCATAAGTCTCGGCCAGCAATTCCCGATCGAATTCCCAATCGCAAATCGAAATCAAACAATGTATTAAGGAATTCTGCTGGAGGCTGGAACTCGGCAGTTTCCCGTTGAATTCCAATCCAAAAGCACATACCTGATCAAATGATCCTGCTGGAAGCTGGGACTGGAGCGTTTCCTCTTGAATTCCCATTCGAAAACCAATATATGATTCAGGAATTCTGCTGGAGGCTTGGACTCAACCGTTCCGTGTTTCCCATTCCCAACCGAATGAACTAGTAAGGAAGCCTGCTGGAGGCTGGGACTCGGCAGTTTCCCATTGAATGTTATCCAATATCAAACAGAATGCTAAAGAGTTCTGCGGGAAACTGGAAATCCACAGTTTCCTGATGAATTCCTATTCAAACAATGATATTACAAAAAACAGCTGGAGGCTGGGACTCGGCAGTCTCCGATTGAATTCCGATTCGGGATACAAGATATGATTAAGGTAGTATGCTGGGGACTGGGACACTGCCATGTCCTATCGAGTTCCCATTTGAAACCACTTTAGTTCATGATGAATTCTGCTAGAAGCTGGGACCCGGCCGTGTCCTGTTGAATTTCGATTCAAAAGCCAAGACATTATTCAAGGAATTCTGCTGGAGGCTGGGGCTCGACATTTCCAAATGAATTCCACTTCGAAAACCAATGCAATTACGAAGGCATTCGGCTGGAGGCGCAGACTCGATTATTTCCGAAGGACAAGGAGGCTGGAGGCTGGAGGCATCCGGAATGAGCTGGAGGCTGGGACTCGGCCATTTCTTCTTGAATTCCTAAGAATCCTGGGGGCGCCGCAAGGGCGTCGGCCAGAGCGCTGGCCGTCTTGATGGACGGCGGGAACAGTTACCCCAATAACCCCTTGCATTTCTATTGGCACCATGCTCTCTCTGAATATTGCGACACGAAGGTGGCGTGTGAAACTGCCCTTTTTCTGTATTTCTTAATAGTAAGGCCCTGGTCTGCTTGCCTACAAATGAATAGTACACGAAGGTGACTGCGGTGCAAGCGAGACGAAGGTGACGTGTGAAACTGACGTTTTCCATCATTCTCCAATGAAGACGCTTTACAGTCTACAGTACACGGAGATGGCGTGTGGTTAGACACGAAAACCACGTGATACCCCAGCAATACTAGCAAACCTAGAAATCGTAGTAGTAGTACTAGTACTAGTAGTACTAGTAGTACTAGTAGTAGTAGTCGTAGTTGTAGTAGTGGTAGTAGTAATAGTAGTAGTAGTAGTAGTAGTAGAAGAAGTAGAAGTAGAAGAAATAGTAGAAGTAATAGTGATATAAGTGATAGTAGTCGTAGTAGTAGTAGTAGTAGTAGTAGCAGTAGTAGTAGTAGCAGTAGTAGTAGTAGCAGTAGTAGTAGTAGCAGTAGTCGTAGAAATAATACTATTACAAGTAGTAGTAGCAGTAGCATTTAGCAGTAGCAGTGGTAATAAGTAATGAGAGTAGTAGTAATAATAATAGTTAGCAGTGGTAGCAATAGTAATTAGCAATGGTAACAATACGTAATAGTAGCAGTAGCAGTAGTAGTAGTAGTAGTAGTAATAGGTAACCGTAGTTAGCAATCAGACGTAGTAGTAGTAGTACAACTAATCATAGGAGTGGTAATACTAGTACTCGTAGCAATCGTAGTCGTAGTCGTACTAAAAGTAGCAGTCGCCGTGGTAGTAATAATAATAGAAGTAATAGCAGTCGTAGTGGTAGTAGTAGTAGTAGTAGTAGTAGTAGTAGCCGTAGTAGTAGTAGTAGTAGTAGTAGTAGTAGTGATGATGATAGTAGTAGTAAGAGGAGTCGTCGTAGCCGTAATAGTCGTAGTCGTAGTCGTAGTAGTAGTAGTCGTAGTATGCGTAGAAATGGTATGTGTAGCAGCAGTCGTAGCAGTAGTAATAGTAGTAGTAGTAGTAGTCGTCGTCGTAGTAGTAGAAGAAGTAGTAGCGCTAATCGTAGTAATACAAATAGTAATGGTAGTAGTAGTAGTAGTAGTAGTAGTAGTAGTAATAGTAGTAGTAGTAGTAGTAGTAGGAGTAAGAGTAATAAGAGTAATGATAAGAATAGTCGTGGTAGTAGTAGTACTAGCAGTAGTAGTAGCAGTCATAATAGTAGAAGTAGTCGTAGTAGTAATAATAGTAGTAGTAGTAGTAGTAGTGGTAATAGTAGTAGTAGTAGTAGTAGTAGTAGTAGTAGCGGTAGTAGTTGTAGTAGTAGTAGTAGTAGTGGTAGTAGTGATAGCAATAGTAGTAGTAGTAGTAGTAGTAGGAGTAGTGGGAGTAGTAGTAGTAGTAGTAGTACGAGTACGAGGCGTAGTTGTAGTCGTAGTAGTAGGAATAGTCATAATAGTTTTGGTAATAGTCGTAATACAAGAAGTAGCAATAGTAGTAGTAGTAGTAGTAGTCGTAGTAGTAGTAGTAGTACTAGTAGTAGTAGTAGTAGTAGTAGTAGTAGTAGTAGTAGTAGTAAAAATATCATAGAACGAATGAAAGTAGTAGTAGTAGTAGTAGTAGTAGTAGTCGTCGTACTAGTAGTCGCCGTGAGAGAAGAAGAAGAAGTAGTAGCAGTAGTCGATGTAGTAGTAATCGTAGTAGTAGTAGTAGTAGTAGTCGTAGTAGTATTAGTAGTAGTGGTAGTAGTGGTAGTAGTGGTAGTAGTGGTAGTAGTAGTAGAAGTAGTAGTAGTAGTAGTAGTAGTAGTAGTAGTAGTAGTAGTAGTAGTAGTAGTAGTAGTGATAGCGGTAGTAGTCTTAATCAATTAGTTAGGTCGTAGTAGTCTCAGCCGTCGCAGCACCGCCCGCGCGTTCTCCCGACGCAGGGAGACTGAGAGTCGCTGGGCGTTCTGTTCTGCCACTGGGATTGGGGAGAGGGGAGGGGGGCGAACGCGGGATCGAAGACGAAGGGGTTTCACTTTTTTGTCCCCTTACCGTCCCTCGGTTACCCCCCCTTCATCTGGTTGACCCAGAAGGAGGTCCAGCTGAAAGGGAGTGGTGCACTAGATCTGGTGCAACAGATTTGTGGTTGCAGTAGATTTGGGGAGTGCAGTACATTCTGGTGCGCAAACGTATTGCTGGATTTCCGCGCGCAGTACATTAGATGCAATACAATGCAATACAGTTCTCTGGCGCAATCAATTCGCAAAACTACTGCCCCACATCTATTGCACCAGCCCCCTGACCCCCTCTTGGGCCACGACGAAGAAATCCAGACATGCCACGTCCTGTTTTTTGTTTCAAGACGGCGTCCCCGAAGTCCCGACCCTCTCCCTGGGGCCAGCTTTTCACCCTGAATCTTTTTTGGACGCTCCCGAAGACTGGCGAGGGCCCCTCGAGGCTGAAAATGGCCAAAAACCTCCCGTCCTGATTTTTTCTTACGACGCGATCAGGTCTGGGCCCCCTCTTGGGTCAACCAAACCTCTGTGCGCGGCTGGCCGACCCTGGGCCTCCTCCTCCTCCCCCCCTCCTCCTCCTCCTCCTCATCCTCCTCCTCCTCCTCCTCTTCCTCCTCCTCCACCTCCCCCTCTCCAGAGATCCGTGCGGGGCCTCTCCAAGTCTCGACCCATTCCCCAGGACCGGGTTTTCATCCAGAGTCGTTCTTTGACGGTCCCGAGGTCCAGTCAGGGCCCCCCGAGGCCAGAAATGGCGAAAAACCTCCCGTCCAGATTTTTGTCACGACGCGAGGGGACCTCAGGAGGAGGAGGGGGAGGGGGAGGGGGAGGAGGAGGGAGAGGAGGAGGAGGAGGAGGAGGAGGAGGAGGAGGAGGAGGAGGAGGAGGACCTCCTCCTCCCCCCTCCGCCTCCGGGGGCGGCGGCGGGCGCGCGGCCACCACGCGCGGCGTGGGCACGCACGAGGGGCCGCCGCCGGCCTTCTCGGGGGCCTGGGCGGGCGCGCGGGAGGCCCGCGGGGATCCCCCCGGCGGGGGCTGCTGCCAGAGTGAGGTCGGGCTGCGATGGGGTCCAGGGTTCCAGGCCACGCCCCCCAGCGCACCCCCCTCCTCCTCCTCCTCCCTCCTCCTCTCCTCCTCCTCCTCCTTCTTCTCCTCCTCCTCCCCCTCCCCCTCCTCCTTCTCATCCTCCTGCTCCTCCTCCAAACGGCCCGCAGCCCAACCCTGAGACCCTCGCGTCGGCGAACAGGAAGGACGACATCTGAGCGACGACCCGAAACTGATCTTTCGCGCGATGGCACAGCGACCTTACGCGGTGGCTTACGCGGGCCGCCAGAGCAGCACGCCACATCGGTGACGAGGGCGTTCACGTGCGACCTTACGCGGGAAGCTTACGCGCGAGTGTCGGCGCAGGCGACCCCGTTTTTGTTGCGTCGCCCATCTGGATTTCGGCAGTTGTCGGCCCTCGCTGGGCCTCGGGGCCCTCGAAAAGCGGCTGGGGATGAATAGCTGCAGTCCTGTGGAGAGGGTGGGCCACGCCGCGAGGCAAAAGCGCTGCGTCGGATGTCTGGTAAGCGCCAGGGGGGCTCAACACCCCCTCAGGGCCCCAAAGCTTGGGTCGGGCATGTCCTCCTACAGGCGGATTCTGAAAAGAAAACAAATTAAAACATCGTCCCCAGAGTAGTTGTTTTACTATCTTTGACTATTCCTCCTGTAGAGGGACACGCCCGATTTGACCCAAAGCCACCATTCCCCCAAAGCGCTCAGAATCCTTCAAGCCTTCCATCACCTCCGTGTACATCGAGGGTGCCAAGAAGGCCCCGGGGCTCATCAGGCCGGCGCGAGAAGCCAGGCGCACCCCTGCAGATGCTGCGCAGACCGTGCGGCGGGGGGGCGCGGCACCTCTGGCCGTGCTCCTCCCTGGCCCGCCCTGTCCGATGGGCCCGCGCCACGCCTCCCCCGATTTCTGCCGTCCTTCCTCCTCCTCCTCCTCCTCCTCCTCCTCCTCCTCCTTCGCCTCGCTAGTGCGGAGGGGGGCAGCGTGGACAAGAGGCTTGCGCGAGCGCCTCAGCCGTGGCGCCATGACTGGGGCTGGTCGGCGTCTCGCACCGCGGTGGATAACGACCGCGCGCGGCCCTCCGGCAGCGCAGGTGAGTCGGTGTCGGCCGACTCCGGACCCTGGCGCCGGCGTTCAATCCTGAACGCCCGCGCCGGGGTCGCCGCCGCGTCAGCGCGGCGCGACTCTGCCGTACACCTCCTCTCCGCCCGCCAGACCCGCAGGCGTGGCGAGCAGAGTCACGGCGCGCACTCTCGCTCGCAAGCTTGGCCTGCGGGGCCCGCTCTCAGGCCCTCGGCAATGAAGAATGACCCGCAGGTGAGCATTAACAAAAAAAAAATTGCGTTTTGACACTTGGAGGGAGGGGGGGGGAGCGGGGGGGGGTCTGGCTCCGGACGTCTGCTTGGTGCGACTGTTTGGGACCGTGCATCCTATATGGGGGAAGCTCCACCTGCTCAAAACAGGCGCCCAAAAAAAGAAAAGCCAAGATCCACTCACTCCAGGGGAGGGGGGCTGCGAGGGCCCGCGCCGATCGGCAAAACAAGGAATAAAAAACGACCCGTCCTCCTCCTCCTCCTCCCTCCTCCTCCTCCTGCTTCCCCTCCTCCTCCTCCTCCTCCTCCTTCCACTCCTCCTCCTCCTCCTCCTCCTCCTCCTCACCACCACCAGAACGAAGCCTGTCCCAGAGATGGGGTTGAGAATTCCGGTGCACACGTCGTGCAGAAGTCACGGCGGCCGAGGCCGCGGAAGAGGAGGAGGAGGAGGAGGAGGAGGAGGAGGAGGAGGAGGAGGAGGAGGAGGAGGAGGAGGGGGGGGCGCCTCCGTCTGGCGAGCCCGCTGCTGCTTCGGCGTGCCACTGTACCAGAGCCCAGCCTAAGCTGCTCGATGCGTGCACGCGCACCTCGCCACCACGCCCGACGGCCCATTCTGCCCCACCCCCCCCCCACCCACCCCCACGCGCAGCGCGCCCGAGCCGCCCCCTGAGCCCCGCGCAGGCAAGCCACTTCGCAAACCCCCACGCGACCCTCTCAGGAGGAGGAGGAGGAGGGATGAGGAGAGGTAGGAGGAGGAGGAGAAGGAGTAGGAGGAGGAGGAGGAGGAGGAGGCGGCGGCGAAGCATCAAGTGGTTACTGGAATAAGAGGAAGGACAGGAGGAGGAGAGGCGGAGGAGGAGGAGGAAGAGGAGAGGAGGACGAGGAGAAGGAAGAACAGAAGAGGAGGAGGAGGAGGAGGAGGAGGAGGAGGGAGGAAGAGGAGAAGGAGGAGGAGGGGGAGGAGGAGGAGGAGGAGGAGGAGGAGGAGGGGGAGGAGGAGGAGGAGGAGGAGGAGGAGGAGGAGGAGGAGGAGGAGGAGGAGGGGGAGAGGAGGAGAAGGAGGCGGAGGAGGAGGGAGGAGGAGAAGTAGTAGTAGTAGTAGTAGTAGTAGTAGTAGTCGTAGTCGTAGTCGTAGTAGTCGTAGTTCGTAGTAGTAGTAGTAGTAGTAGTAGTAGTAGTAGTAGTAGTAGTAGTAGTAGTAGTAGTAGTAGTAGTAGTAGTAGTAGTAGTAGTAGTAGTAGTAGTAGTAGTGGTAGTAGTAGTAGTAGTAGTAGTAGTAGTAGTAGTAGTCGTAGTAGTAGTAGTAGTAGTAGTAGTAGTAGTAGTAGTAGTAGTAGTAGTAGTAGTAGTAGTAGTAGTAGTAGTAGTAGTAGTAGTAGTAGTAGTAGTAGTAGTAGTAGTAGTAGTAGTAGGAGTAGGAGTAGTAGTAGCAGTAGTAGTAGAAGAAGAAGAAGAAGTAGTAGTAGTAGTAGTAGTAGGAGGAGGAGGAGGAGGAGGAGGAGGAGGAGGGGGGGGCGCCTCCGTCTGGCGCCTCCGTCTGGCGAGCCTCTGAACCAGAGCCTGGCCCAAGCCGCTCGATGCGTGCACGCGCACCTCGCCACCACGCCCGACGGCCCATTCTGCCCTGCCCCCCCTCCCCCGCGCAGCGCGCCCGAGCCGCCCCCTGCGCGCTCAGCGCAGGCAAACCACTTCGCAAACCCCCACGCGACCCCCGGAGGGGGAGGAGCAGGAGGAGGAGGAGGAGGAGGAGGAGAAGGAGGAGGATGAGGAGGAGGAGGGGGAGGGGGAGAAGGAGGAGGAGGAGGAGGAGGAGGAGATGGAGAAGGAGGAGGAGGAGGAGGAGGGGGAAGACGGGGATGAGGAGGAGGAGGAGGAGGAGGAGGAGGAGGAGAAGGAGAAGTCGGAGGATCAACCCCCATTGATGACGAACCCTGGAGTGCTGCGCTCCTCCTCTCGGCATTGCCGGGCCTCCTCTCGTGGGCCAGGGCTCCCCGAGCGCCCCTCCCGCACGCGTTCTCCCCAGGGAGTCCCACAACGGCTGGGACATGACATAGTCCAACAGCTCGGCCAAACTCTGGCTCAACGTTTGGCCACATCGGTGTTTCCAGAAAGGCAGGAGGCGGCGGCGACTCGCCGTTTTGCATCTTCAATCGTACACTGCTCTGCACCTCGCATAACGCCTGTCATTCGAAAAAGAGTCGCGGCGTATCGACAACCACCACAGAATTGCATGTTTTCATGGCAGATCGTTTCATATCGCTACCATCGCATATATTTACAATGCACTGCATGTCACGCCATCCCATGGCAGCACACGGTACACTGCGGCGCATCAGAGCCCGAATTCCATGATGCACCGAACCATAGCAGTGCACTTTGGAGCACGGTTCAGCTCAGCATAGCAGCGCCTGGTAACGTACAGGATATCATATATTCGCTGCACAGCGCCACGTGCTAGCATGACATCGCTTAGCAAGCAACGTCAAACAAAGACAAGGCACAGCAAAACAAACACAGCAAAACGAAGGAACGCATGATAAGCGGAATGGCCCGAGCGACTTTTTGGTTCGCGGGTCGAGAGCGCACCTCTTCCGGTCGAAGCTAAGCGGGCCGCGCGAAGCTTGAATTATCAAAGAGGGGGGGAAGGGAAGGAGCTGGCCCGAGCGACACCCGACGGAAGTAATGGGTTCATGACAGGCCGCGCCCCCTGAGCGTCAACCTGGGGCCCAGGAGCCGGGACCGCCGAGGCTATGGCCACTGTCCACCTTGCGCGAGCTCACTTTGGAACCGTTTGGGCAAGACCACCTGAGATAAAACCGGGAAAACCTGTCGGGCGCACGGTGACGGCACACGGCGTCGACGATACGATACCAAGATATTCAGTTTGAGCCAGGGGGCGCTACGTTGGCGCGCACTCGGATCATGGGTCCCGAATCCAACTGGGGACTCAGAGCCGAGATCCCAGGAACTCTACCTCTAATTCTAACTCTACTCGATATGAGGCTGCAGCTGTTCGTTGCGTGACTGTCCATTGTGAGGTCTCTTGCTCCCTTCAAAAATGTTGAAGGACAGCGGACCGAGAAAACGGACAAAATATCGAGGGACACAGAGCACTACACCTCCGTAGCGCTCAGCGTCCACGCCGAGACGCCGCGGAAGTCAGACTTCGTTCGGAGCGTTACAGGACCTTTTTTTTGCCGGGAATGGGGTGCACAACTGGACTCGCATGTTCAAGCCGTCGCGCACAACAAGCTTCCCCAAGTCACCATTCCAAAAACGCTGAGACGACCGACCAACCTGCACTGACGTGCCCATTGTGTTCCCGGAGGCCTTCCCGGGGCACTCGGAGAGGGATAGAGAGACCGTTCATCGAACACCAAGGCCTGGCCCAGAGGACCAGCCGATGGCAGAGCTCCCGGGAGCGTCCCAGGGCTGCTGAGGCTGCTTACCACGAGTCGCCCAGCATCGCGCTTCGCGCCGCGCAGTGCTCGGCTGTCGTCTCCGCGGAGGGCCGGTTGAGACAACGGCGGCTGTCCCGCCCAGCTCCCGTGCGGCCAAGAGATCGGTCCCCAGACTCCTCCCAGGGTCCATCCTGCCATGATTTTCGGGGCGGGTCCAGCCGT